CCCCCCCACTTTCCTTCTTGCGCTTTCCGTCGTTTGTTCTTCAGGCTCGTTTCCCTACCCCAGTCAAGGGCTAAGTATTCACTTTTTCTACACCTATCTTTCTTTCTTGCCCTCTTAGCGCTGCTCTTTCTGTCTTTCCTTTCTTGCGTTTCTAAGGCTTTTTAGGTGACTACTTTCCGTTTTATGCCAGAGAGCCGCAAAGCGGCGGAGTGTGTCAAAAAGGACACAACCACCAAGCCTGCCACCGCTTTTTGAAAAAGCGCCGACGACGGCGACCTGTGTGTGTCCACCCCTGGACAAAGGGTTTCTTTCAGCCGATCCACCTTCCACTTGTTTCACTAGCAGGGGCACTGAGCACTCCTTGGCAAACTCAGTGCAACGAAGCTATGCCTTGGAGTGGGAAGCACGGATTGATCACCCGTGTGTACCTGCGAGAAACTTTTCTACAAGCTGTGACTCTACTTCTCCACTTTTTGTTTCATGGTTCTTGCATGCTACCACCCCTAAACAGGTTTTCACGCCGCTGTGCAGCCGCCTTCACTTTTGCCACGTTGTCTTGCAGCTGCGCCGCGCCGACCGATCGTTTCTGCAGACTGACCAACAACTTGTTGAAACACCTACAAGTTTTTCGGACTCTCCACCATGCAGTTCTGTCACCTTCCTTCCCAGCGTGGGAACTGAGTTAACTGAATACAATTGTCGAAGTGTGTGTGATAGTGTGTGTGTGTGTCTCACAATGGTGTGACGCATATTCAGGGTCCCAAGAAGGATGTTATGAGAGCTGTGCAGGCGTCGATATGTGAAGCGTTAGGGTTGTAAAACTGATGCTATCGCATTTTGGGGCATTGCGAGAGGATGTGAAGCATTGTCCCCAAACTCATGCTGTCAGATGGAGGGAAGCGTCGATACAATGAGAACTATTCTGCTCCCAAGGCAGTTGCTATCAAATGTGTGAAGGCGTCCGAGTGACGTGAAGCATAAGGGCCCCAAAAAAATGAGAGGTAGTATCCATGACAATGGAAGCTTCAGCACCACGAACTGGTCTTGAAGGCCAATTCAAACACATGAGGGGGAGTTGAACCCGCGGAGGGTTGAAGGGGCCTAGCAGTGGATAATTCACTGAATAGCCGATTCCATCCCCCCGGCCAAAACCTTGCTAATCTTGCTAAAAGTTGATGCAACCCCCAATCATCCCTAGTCATTGGCAATTCTGGCAGGCCACGGACAGCACCTGCAAGGGGTTGAAGGGTTCAATTGAAATCAAGCCTCAACTAGGAACTAGTCACTAGCCCTTTTCGCAGCAGTTTGCTGAAACGTGCAGGTTTCAGTGTCGGGACTTGTCATGACTCGGATGCATCTTTGTAATAGGCGATATTCTTGTCGCACAAACAGTCCAGAAAGGGGCATCTCCAGTTTATCAGTCCTTGACTTGCTGAGCAGCCTCCGAAGACCGCGTACATCAAAGGTGTCAAGTCATCCTGCTCGAATCTTTCGGATTGGGGCCTCGAAAGGCTGCCCAACAAAGCATCCAGATTTCCACAACAGGCATCGAGATGCGGGGATAGGTCCTGAAGCGTTTCCCTGGTGGACTGGTGGACATGGTGTGCCTCGGGTTTCATGATGCCCCTGGCGTGTTTCAGGACGTAAATCTGCGTTCCTCTGCCGGTCCTGTCGGCTGGCAGCATTCACGCTTGCGCCCATACCTTGCAAATAGCCACACTGCAACTTCCGGAAGTGGCTCAAGCCCAACTTGCCCCAAACAACAGCAGGTTGGCAAGTTCTGACTCTCACGAAGGGAGAACAACATATTTAAACCATTAAAACACATCAGGAAATTGAAGAACCCTACGGGACCCTTGTCATATCTTGTCACCTTCCGCCGCGTCACGCACCAGCCGTTGGCATAGGTCGGCCATGCCTCGCTCCGCCACGCGGCCCAGCGCCGCTCCGCCGGAGACATCGCAGCGGCCAGCCTGGAAGCAGCACAGGGCAGCTGCCAAACTATCTACAATGCAAGAGATGTTTCAATGCCTGTGTGTGTTTTTCTTTTAAGGGGCAGGCCGTAGAGGGAGGTAGTAGCTAGGTAGCTAGTAGCTTAAGTAGCTACTACCTAGGACTCAGGATAGCTCACGCTTCTTCAAGGAAGCTCCCCCACCTGAGGGGCCGGGGGGGGGCTTCCTTGAAGAAGCGCTCGCACTGATCATGTGGCTCCTAGATTTCTATAGGGAAACTTAAGTATATGCATTACATGATGAATCATCCTTATCGGCATCTTCCTGTACTTGTTTGACACATTTTTGTGATTAAGCCCTATACATTGGGCAGTCATGTGCATTGATCTCATGGCATTCTAGACATCAGGTGGGGCGAAGCAAACTCGACCTGTCTGCATGAAACCCGCGAACCCGCGGCGTTCTCCACCTCTTGACACATCCGCCGCGACAAGGTGCGCAGTTGTAGCCGCTCTCCTCACGTCACCGCCCTTCCCTTAAAAACCGGCCATCTCATGAAATGGGAGAAGCTCCTAGTAGCGTCCTTGCTCCTAGTAGTAAGGCCAGGAGCCCCGTTCGTAGCGTCCTTGCTCCTAGTAGCCTTTGCTCCTAGTAGCGTCCTGCACCATGGGCCCAGAAAGTTGCAACAGGATGAGTCTTCTATGCACAGTGTCCGAAAACCATGGCAAGTGGGGCAGCTACATGTCGACACTCTGGCTGCCCCGGGCTCGGACGGTTCTTGACCGCCCAAGCTGTGGAGCTGATCGTCAGCCCCTCTCCTAGACCAAAGAAGCTGAAGCACAGTGGAAAATAGGCCTCCTGAGCCGCTAGCGGTCGCTTGGCTCACTTGCATGGCAACATCCCCCTAATGCACTCTTCAAGCTGCTTGCTCTACCGACCTCAATGAAAATAGAAAAGCCGGCCCCCATGACGATCATGTGTGATCATTCTTGAGTTGTTCTTGTGATCCCGCATATTGGAGGTCTGTCCAATATGCTTTATGTGGAAGCGGACATTGGAAAAGGGCATCTGCGTGGGTTTTTCTTCATTGGTTGGTAACACTTTGTAAATGTTCATCAAGTTCCAAACATACCCTTACTTTTATTAAATAGCTTGAGCTTTCTAGGAAAGAGTTCAAATAACTAAGTGCTGCTTTCATTTCTTAGCTAACTACGTGCAAGTCTCGACCTGGGGATGTCCCTTTAACAATAATCAAGATGCCCCCTATACTCGCGCGGCATGAGTTAGGGCATTGGCTTGGCATCACCTTAAAGCCACAGGATACAGCTATCCTACGAGAGGAGGCATCAGGTTTGGGTGTTCCTCACCGCTTTTCCGACATGAAGGATTTTGGTTCCAAAGTCATTCTATGGATCCCACATGTGGGGGCCATAAAGCACACAGGTCACGTCAGCTTGAGCATCACCTCCAGAATAGGGAATCCTATTAAAGCCAAGGAATCTGGTGCAGCCGGGTCTCAAAAGACATCGGCAAAGGTAAGGGCGGCCTGGAGCAAGCCAGGTTGATGCCACTGATAGTCACTAACACTAATTCTGCCATATCAAAGCACACTGATCTAAGACTTGGAAATGCACTAACAAAAGCATAAGAGGATATCATCAGTACTGCACCCAAAAATGGTAACAAAGCTGTTAGTCCCCAACTCAATTCAGTGTTCGTTGGTGGCTTCGGCACAAAGGAGGACAAACATTGACACACGGCGCCTCCATAAAACAAAACTAAGTTAATGTTAACATATGTTAACCAATCCAAGGACTTGCTTATCTTGATCGCTCTTAGCCAAGCTCCAGTTTGCAACCAAGTCGCTTCTTTGCAACTAATTATGGCACCTATGCCGCTGCGGCAACGCCTCCCCACGCGCGAGAATTCAAACGCGCAAAAGTCTCTCAAACATTGCTCAAGATTATGTGTCATACGGGGCTGTGTGACGTCAAGCCTTTCAGCATTGTTCAAGTCTGCAGGGCAAAATCCCAACTTGGAACCCCACAATCCCTAGGTTCCCAACACCCGAACCAAGCTCCAACTACCGTGAAGACTTCGGAAGTACCGTGCCACACCTGCACCGCCCTGGGCACTCCAGAGTTTCACATCTTGAGCCAAAACATGTGAGGTCTTTGGCAGTAATGTGGGCACGCCACATTAACCAAAATAGTTCATGACTCATCATGCATTGAAATGAGAATTCCGACTTTTCCTGCACGGGGGTGAGTGAGCCAAGAACGTGTCAGCCCGATTCAGCACGGATCTGAAGGAGTCAAACCAGCCACTGACACCTCCTCCAGGTTGACGGCAGCCTGCAAAGCGAAGCCACCCCAGACTTAAGCAAAGTCATGAAGCCTGATACGACCAGGCTTCCTCAGGTACACATTCATGCGGCATCATGCGTCTGGTCGGTGGCTGTCTCGACCGGCAAACATGTGATTGAGACATATTGAGACACCTCGCTCATTACTTCTCCGGGTCTCCGCCAAGTCTTGATGTCCAAACCAGCGGTTTCACAAAGGTGACATGTGGGAGGCCATCAATCAAGCCATGGGGGATCCTGGCACCGGCAATGCTAGACGCTAGCCAGAATATCAAAGCCTACTAAATGAAACCCAAGTGAAGACCTTTTGGTGTCCAGCACTGCTAATGAATGCCGGGGCCTTCCAGTCTATGTTGTGCAATCTTCCAGCAATAGTCATATCATTCCTATCCCAATCAAAGAAGGAAAATACCAAACACGCCAGGTGGCGCACGCCTGACTGCACAGTTCCCGGGATGCCTTCGCGGCAGCCTCATGGAGGCTGCACAGGCAAGTGACCGATGTGTATTGGAATGAGGAGAAACACGGAGAAACCAACCAATTTGCTTTGGTTTGATCATTGGTTTGATCAATGGAATGAGGAACTTTAAATTGGTTCGTCGTCTATTTTGCTTTTACCCTCTTTTTCCCAAGTCCCTTCTGACACCTCCCGATTCCGAAACATACACACTTGGCCTCAACATCTGCATAGAGCTAAAACAGCGACTACGACTACGACTAAGACCTTCAAATCAGATTCAAAGTGAATTGCACGGCTCAAACTGGTCAAGGAACAGAATAACCAGCCGTCACAAAGGGCTTGCCTTGATCACAGTTTAAAGTTCCTCACCACTGCGCTACATGCTGACAAAGATTCGAGGTTCACACATGTCAAGAACAATGCACCTAGCTCTGATCCATGTCCATGGGTTCATGATGGTTCATGATGGTGCTGTGTGGTCCAACCTTGGCAGTCAAAGGGTGAATGGGCGAGGCCTGATAATTTGACTGAAGCCTTTGCCAGCTCTTGTCCTAGCATCCTGCTTGCTTTTTGCACAACCGACACGATGGACACAGGCTATGTACAGGGCGACTTGTGGACAAAGTATGCAACCTCACCGATGAGGCAATGGGAACATTCGTCTCCGCAGGATGGCAAATCCCGCTGTCTGTGATGGCATGAAAGTCTGACAGGCGTTTTTGGTGACCAAATGCGAGGCTAGCGTCCTTCACCACAGCCCAAAAAACACTGACGGGACTCCATGTTATACAATCTTATACACCCATTACGCCAGTTTTTGGTATCTATTAGGTGTTGGTCCTCCACTTTTCTCGGAGATCTGAATTTGTGCAGTTGGTCACGTGGAAGCTCTGATGATCCAAAGCAACTTGGTGCTGGTCTGGAGCAAATTCAGTGTAGGCCAAGTCAAGGTGGTTCCTGAACCATGCCAAACTCCTGCCAAGTCTGCCCTTGTCATGGCCGGCCTTGCCTTTGGCACGGCGACACTATGCTGCGAATTTGAGTGATCCAGGAGAATTGCATCTGTGCCTCTGGCCACTTGATGGTAGAACATGTGCAACTACTACGATGGCTGCGGTCGATTTGGCTTGCAAATCCACTGACACCCACGCACACCACACCATCGCACGCCAATGTGTATGCAATTGTATATATATATATATATGCAACCTGGTCGAACTATGAGCCTACTTCAGAACCACTTGCTTTGTCTAAGTACCAAGAAACAACATGGAACAAAAAGAACTCCCTTGGCCATGGCCTCAAAACAAACGTATTAAAATGTGGTCAGGGCATGAGATCGCCCATCATTTCTTGATCGCAGCCAGCGGTCAGGAAGTCTACAAAAAAATGCTCTGCGGCTTCTTGGGCATCTCACTTGCAGCTGGCACGGGCATAACTTCAAGCACTACCACCAAATCTGTCAGGGCCTTCATGATCCGGTGCGGTGTTTGCTTTTCGGAAAGGATGCAAGTATGTCGCTTAGACACAAACGCATCTGTTAGCCATCGAAAATCTTCCATTATCACTGAGAAGGAAGGGGTGGAGGCTTAAGGAGCTCTAGAGCGAGTATAGCTACAACGGCTGAATGGGCCTATAAAGGCCCACACATGGCTGAACACAAATCATAGCTGCCTGCCCCATGACCGTTCCAGGCTGTCAAAAGACAACTCTACGCCGCAATGCATGTACCTTCCCCCATCTGAAAACCCAAATCCACCACATCCCAGTATGTCACGGCATGTCTTCATCCCATTCACTTGAAATCGGCGAAATTCACGGCGATGCTTTTTCACGGGCAACACATGGCAAAGGTGCATTGTGCCGGGCACGCCTTGCCTCCGTAAAGTTGAAGATCTTTGGCCTTTCTTTGCAGCCACCTTCCCCTCAACCGCTGAAACAACTTCTGAAAATTGAGTGTGTCACATCATGGGTTACTCATAGGATACCACCGGGCAGTTTTCAGTTTTTGTTCTATCCCTGGGTTATATGCACTTTGTGGTTTGTCCATGCTGGTATTGTCCTCGCTGGGGAGGCTTGGATCTTAAGTCATGAGTGCAACCACATTGACCGAGCGGCCAAAACGAGCAACAACACCAACTGAAAAATCATGATCTTGTACCGCGCAAGGCAGCCCGCCAAGTGTCAGCTGCAGGCGCAAGCGGCTCCTGTGGCAACGTCATGTTACACCGGCATCGAGCAAGTCGGCCAGAACGGCTGACATTGCAGGTTTATGTTAAGTTATGAATCATATTTTATAAATTAAGTTCATCATACATCTATGCCAGCTTTGAGAGCAACATGTGCAGTCACCAATGGCAACAAACACAAATCAACATTAAACTCCTTCTGCACTCCGGTGTTTTTCGTTCTCCCACCCGCGGTCCAGCTTGGAATCTCACTGACGAGTTTCACCTCCACGAATCCTTTTCCGCCAGATCTGGCGAAGCTGCTGTCCTTTTCAGACCGGAGAATGACCTGCTTGAAACGTTGCAATGGCGGCTGAAAAACGCCTCCCTCCCACGGCATACATATGGGTCGCGTGGCAAAGTCTCAACCTATGAAAACTGGGTAGCGAGAGGTCAACGTCGTCAAAAAAAAAATATGGTTTTACAATGAAAAACGATACATATATATATATAGATATATGCTACACCCCCGCAACCAAAAAAAAGATAAAACATACCTTTTAGACAACTTCACTGGTATTTGCAATGATTTGGTGAGATTTCAGGGCACAAATTGAACATCACATTTTTGACCATATTGTGGTCATTGACTGGGCGTTAGTTAAAACATTGATTGGTTTGACTGTTTTGTATCACCGGCGCCTATGATGATTTTATTGTCCTTATGTTTCTCAGTAAAAATTAAAACCTTATTATAGATATAAAGACTGGTCATATAGATTTCATCAAAGAAGATGACATCAAAATTGCTATGATGAAACTCTGGTAGTTCATCCCCCTTATGAACTGGAATTCTAAAAAACATGTTATAGGTTGTTGCGTCACCTTCTATTTCTTGACTTAACCGGTTATGAGGCACTACAAACAAAATATTGTTATGTATATTTTTAACATACTCGCCTATGGTAACTCTTGCCCGATCCCGCAACTCTTCAATTCGCTTACATATTGCGGGGGTGTCCCATTCATCCACCACCTCTATTGGTTCATTTTCTATTCTTGGAATTGCAACTAAGTCATTATATCTAAATATGTTGGTTGGAAAATTGATTGGTTTGTTTGTCAGTCTCCAGTTGCCTATGCCTTCTTCAAGGTTCAATATTCCAGTGTGATATGATTTTACAAAACTATTTGGTTTGCCCATCACTCTAGTTAAATCCTCTCATGGATCGTGAAGGCATCACTCTTCACTGAATAGACCTTAATATCATTTTCTACACGTTTATTAGTATATGCTTCATACATTGAACAGTTATGATATTGAAGTAGCAACTATTCGTTTAAATCTAAACCCATTGACTAATCTATTTCTATTGGTGGTGTTTAAAATGTAATAGGTATTGCCCATGCTTGTTTCTTCTTCTTTTTCTATTTCTTGTTGTATGGCATAAATCCTTCCTCCAAATTCCCTCTTGTAATGGCATGCCTCCCTCAAAGTGTAACTCTTCTGTACGGTGTTGTGTGATTGCTCTAGCATTCCAAAGGTGATTTGTCTTATGAAATTTTGTAGAGCGGCTTCCCATAGTTCATTAACAATCTGGTCATAATTCACCTTATGAATGAATGAATGGTTTTACAACAAATGATGTTTATTTCATTGTTTGCTTCCAACAGCTTTCTTTGACACTTTCCATATACTAAGTTATACCTCTTATTGGAAAACATTTGATGCCTTCACTTCCACCATACACAATGTTAAACTAGATAATTTGCTAATGTCAATGTCATCACTGTAATGTTTTCAACTATCAAACTCATTAAAGACCGGTATTAAGTTCTGCAGAATTCTTAAGATTTCCCTGGAACCAAGAAACCAAGAACCAAGATTGCACAGAAGTCTTGGGGGATAATCTTGGTTCTTGGTTCCAAGAAAACCTTCTCATCAGAACCAAGATTTTGCCCAAGACTTCTGTGCAATCTGGTTCTTGGTTTCTTGGTTCCGGGAAAACCTTAAGTTTTCTTAAGATTTCTGCAGATTTTTGAATAATGTTCTTGTTTGCCTATTGTTCTCAAATATAATCTTCACCTGAGATGCACGAGGCTGTGCAACTATATATATGTATATATATATATATGGTACTCCCCGTTCAATTGACTGATAGATTATCATCCCCAAACATGA